TATGGAAAGTAGATTTCCTTTTGGCCTCCATCGTTACTGTCATTGTTGTAGTTATCATCATGGTTTACAGCCAACTGCAACTTAGAGCTAATAGTAACTGGGGGGACAATATGGTATGAGAGGTTTTACTGAATTGCCGTTGAATATGCCCCAATAAACAGAACAGTCATTGCCATCATCAAACATTCGTGAAGTCCCCTCGTTCCATCACTGCTTGTGTGGGTGTGTCTTGTGGTGATGGAGGAACGTGTCTGAAGTGATGGGTGGATTTCTCTGACCATTTTTCTTTCCAATTTTTCCTAAAGCAGTTTCCCCGAAGCTTAGGTTCTTTGCAGCGTCTCTGAACCATCCCTTCTCAGGAGCTAAAACAGTACACACATACAGAGTTTGCATTCTCCAAACTAAAGTTGTTTTTTTTTTTTATGAATTGTAAATTTATTTATGTAATAAATAAATTATATAAATAAGTTATATAATGTTAATTATATAATTATAATTATAATATATAAAAATATGTATATTTATATATGTATAAAATATATAATTTATATATTATATAATATATAAATATATTATATAAATAATATAATAATAATATGATAAATTATATTATATAAATAAATAATAAATTTATGTATTTATCTAAAACTTTAAAATTAGCACATTTATTTATGGATATAATGGATTGCCATTATGGAAAATAATGCAATCAGATGAAATTAGGAGTATTTCTGTAGAAATATCTCAGACCTTAACCACAATAAACGTTCAGCCCTTAGAACCATGGGAATTAACATTTAGTAATGCAGTAGTAAGGAGGTTGTGGTCTGATTCACCTTACCAAATCAGATTTTTACCCACTACTGCACTTTACACTTATACTTTAAATCTGTCTTTTTGCCCAGTTCTGAATGTGTTGTGCATGTGCATTAATTCATTTAATGAATATTGATTGAGCACCTGCAGTATGCCAGATACCTTGCTAGGTGTTAGAGATATGAAGGTACAGTTCCTGATCAAAAGGAATTTGCAGTCTGGTGGAAAGACAGCCAAGTGAACCAGTGATTACCACACCCCATTTAGGGCCTGGGCCAAAATTATTTAGCCAGAGTGTCTGGCAGTACAGAAGAAGGGCATTTAAATCAGAGCTGGTAAACCCTTGAGTTGACTCTTCAAGGATGAGAGGCATGAGCCAGGAAGAGCACTCCAGGCACAGAGGCAAGAATTAGCCTGGTGCAGGCAAGAAACCACTAGCAATTTAGTGTGTTTGGAGCATGGAGTGGGCACGCTCAGTGGAGCTGCAGAGAAGATTAGAGAGGACGGTTTGGTGTAGAGAAGGCAATGGACTGAGAAGTAGAGACCTGATTCTCACCCTATTCCCACCGGTATTCCTTATGTGTCTTTAAGCATGTCATTGGGTCTTTAGTCCTTATCAGTATAACCAGAGACTGGGGAGAGTTGTTCCCAAGCCATATTCTGGAAACACTGTTCCAGTAGATATATAAAAAAAAAATGGGCTATGAAAAATGTTTTCTCTACTTCGATAGTTAGGAGAAGACTGAATATTACATTAGCCTTTAAAGAGTCACAATGACTCTTAAGCTTCAGTTTTCTTTAACTCAGCATTTTGCAAATTATATGAACTTAGAGTGAATTTTCTATAACATTAATATTAGTATCATGGTGCAGAGCCCCATTTTGGCAAACAATAGACTTGGTCTTAAAGGTTCAGTTATCTTCATTCATTCATTACGTTTTTAAAAGTGTAGAACCAAATAATTGATTCATATATACCCACTTTTTACTTTAGGTTACTAGTGTTATCCCTGTAATAGACTTTAGTTATTTATTTTTCATAGCAATGTTTGGGGTTTTTTTAATTGCATCAACTGTCCTGGGATTTTTTTTTTCCCTTTTCTTATTTTTCATGTCATGCTCAGACTTCATTACCTGGCAATAAGTTGCAAGAAATGTGAATTAAATTGTTTTTCAACAAGTATCAATCATTTGTGATTTGTTTAATAGAAATTATAATGAATAAAATAAGGATTTTGCTTATTATAAAGTTGTTATATTCAACATTGGCAAATCCCAAAATTAATAATGAGTCCATAAATCATTTGTGTTGCTAAAGAGTTCAAATAAATAAAAACAAGATTGACCTTGTTAGAAATTTGCTATTTTCAACATTCATCTGTCAGAGCCACTGATTTGGAAATCGTTATAAATTCTTTAAAAATGGGAACATTTTTTTCCCTATAAAAATACCCATCATTTGGCAAACTACAGTGTCATTTTTCTTGAAGAGAATGTAGTGATTGATTATCCAGAGTGCTACCATGACAAGGTAAACGAACCAAATAGCTGGAAAATTGTATGTAATCATATAGCATCACACAGCCTCTGTGTTGAGCACAACCATTAGAATTAAACCATGGCAGCATCAGGCATCACCTACCTGCCTAATCATTCCCTGCTGGTACCTCCTGTTCATCCCCAAAACCTTGACCTCCAGTGGACACGCAGAGGTGTTTGCAGTCCCCCCTTCCCTTCCAGGTGAGCACTGCAATAAATACAGACCAAACCTGATCCACCTAAAGAGATTTCAAAATGCAAAGGTCTCTTTGTTTGAAATCCCTCACATATATGACATCCAGAGATTTACTTTTGCGTATTAACATTATTAGTCTTGTTTCTTTTATTAATAGTATTGTCCTGAAGCTCCTGAGAAATTATAAACAAGTAGGGGAAGGGAAGAATGGGGGATGGACAAAAAGAAAAGAAGAATGCTGATCTCTTCCTGAGAAGCTGATAATTTATTCAGGAAGAGCAAACACACCTGAGATGATTTAAGAACAATTGCACGGTATTCACCCTGTGAAAAAGTACCTGTGCAAAAATTGAATATGGGAGTCATGAAGGCCAATAGAGTAGAGGAGCAATCAAATTACCCTTGGTTATTAGAGGACTAAATTGAGTCATGAAAAAGGACGGGGCTACCCAAACCTACCCTGGAGATGGTTATCAATAGCGTAATTGGGAATAGAACCAGGCCCTTTCTCCCAATAGTCAGAGCGATCTCCCGTGCCCATCTTCCCTGCAGTGTTTGAGATTTTAAATGCGCTTTGTGAGGATAGCTGAGCTCCACTCTCCTTTATTAATTGCTGTCCACATGCTGCAGGATATCCTGTGTTCAGAATCAGGATGAGGATTTTAAATTCTTCTTAGCGTGGGGATGTGTAGCCAGGCCGAATCAATTCCTGTCACTCACACGCAAATACAGAGGAATGGGATTATGGATCAGGGGGAAGCTGCAGTGCTTTAATCTTAAAATCGATACAGAAAAGGAAGTTGAACTTGTGGGGATTCTATAGAGACTGTAATTTGGCTTCCTGTGAGGCTTGCCTTGTGGAATATAACTGCTCCTTCCTTCTCACCTTCTGATTATTTTACTGGGAATGGCGAAAGGAAGAGAAGATGAGAAATCACTACAACCACATCATCTTGAATAAGCATGCGAATATAACTCATAATTCAAGCTAACCCTCCATTGCGTTGAGAGAAAGCTAAATACTTTTATCCATTCTTTTTATTTTTAGAAAAAAAAAATAGCCAAAATCCTATACCTCATAGTCTGTATTAAGCATAATAAAATGCCTTTGATTCCTGCATAGTTCACTGTCAGACTGGAAAAATATTTCTCTGCAGTTTACTTTTATGGCTACACCTACCACAGCCTATGCGATTTTATGTAAACACATATTCAACCCACTAATTATTGACCAAAGGATTCCAAGCTGCTAAGCATGTGATTAATATTTACTCCAGGCTTTCTCTTTGTGCTGCCTGTCATAGGTCCCTAATCTCAAACAGCCCAGAGGTGACAAGTCAGGCTCCAACTGAATATGCATTTTCTTTCTTAAAAGCCACAGACATATATTGTAGAAGCCAAGAGTACCATGAAATTCTGCTTCTTTTCAAAGAGGCATGGAACAAATGGTCTGAACAACTCGGTCATTTCTGAATCAAAGATTTAGAATTTATTGAATATGCCTCTTTTCAGATATAACACTGATTTCCTGCATAGCACTGTTAGTCTCTAGTCTTAAGATCGACTTATTAGTTTTCCTTGTGGATATTTCCTTAATTCAGTTTTCAAATATGTCTGTGTGTGTTGGGTGCTGCTTTTATAGTGATAACAACAGTATGAAATACTGTGATCTCATGAGAAAATGGCTGGTCCCTGGGCCAGAGAACTCAGGTCTAGCTCTTAGGAAGAACGGTGTAGTTAGAAGAGCAAAGCCTGGAGCCCTTTCTTTGTTTTCTAAACCTGTTTCCTTGTCTTTAAACTGGGGATGGTTGTAGGATCCACCCGATAGGTAGGGGTGATGAGAAGATTAAATGAAATAAAGTATGCGACATGCCTAGCATTGTACCTTGCACTTGTAGGAACCCTATAAATGTTCATGATGATCATGATTATTATGTGAGCCTCAAGTGAGATAACATATGCTGTGTATGTGAAAACATTCTACAAGCTGTAAAACACAATACAAATGTTAGTTGTTGTCCTTAACAGATTGATGGTTTTAAAACTTTTAAAATAAATCATAGAAGGCTTTTTCTTTGTGCTGCCTGTCATAGGTCCCTAATCTCAAACAGCCCTCGAGGTGATAAATCAGGCTTCAACTGAATATGCATTTTCTTTCTTAAAAGCCACAGAAATATATTGTGGAAGCCAAGCATTCCATGAAATCAATTTGAAAATCTCGATCGCATGTCCTTCCAGAAAAAAAAATAATCTAAGGTCTTTGGAAGCCCACCACCATGTAGTATACTTATTTTGTTGTTTTTAGTCCATGTTTTTAAATGTCACATCCTTCCAGGAAAGTTCAAGTGCCTTAGATTATTATATAATTTCAGTTGGCCTTCCTTATCCTACACATTACTTGAGTATGGAAAGAAATCTCACGAGTTTCTCTTTTGTTGTTCATTTCCAGAGCACCATCATTGTGGAGAAGACAGTGCAAGACCTCATGAACCTAATGCACGACTTGAGTGCGTATTCAGATCAGTTCCTCAACATGGTGTATGTGAAGCTCCAGGAGTACAGGGAGACCTGCACTACGGCCTACAGGTGGAGTTTCTGTCAAGAGCTAAGCACAGTCACTTTGGAACCTGATGGTTGTTCCGATTGGTGAAATTGCCTTCGTAGCCTAACTTGTACCACTTAGAAAAGGATCATCCCTGAGTTGGTCAAGGGGCCTGACGAGAACCTGCCCCACAGATAGAGTCTCCTAGACCCTTGTGTAGTTGGACAGACAGAGGGAATGAGAGGGAAGAAGGGACAGAGCCACTCAGGACAGCCATCGAGTGGGTCAAATAAGGGTCAGCCTTGATTTTCGTGACACTCCAGAATCATACCATTTGTCTCCCTCAAAGAAATTCCAGATCTTGATTAGTCCATCTTGTGGTTGGAAAGATCCTGCAAATAGAGAAAACTCTTAATAATCTATAATAGTATTTCTTTTTCATTCTTACAAATATGTTCCTCCTGGTGTAGACTTCATACTGTCACAGAACAGTTATGCCTGTTTTCAGCATCAATGGAAAGGAAAAACCATTGTTATGAACTTGAAAATCATTAGTTATCCCTCTGATTTCTTTTCTTTGAGTTCAAAAATCTCTCTGGGCTTCTGGAAAAAGATCCTAGCACTTCTTATAGAAAGCTAATAATAGGAGCAAATTATGGACTGGTTGACAAGACATGAAACAATTAGAGAAGAAAAGAATGTATAATAAAATACTAAATAATATGTTATATATAATTAAGGATAAAGTACAGGTGCTCCTTGTATAGTACAGATTATATGGGCAGGGGAAAGAGAGAGAAAAGGTGGTTGCAGTCAGGGATGATTTAGCAGAAAGTGAGATATGTGCTGGACATATGAAATTTATGCAAGTAGAGAGAATAAATAAGGGCACGGCAGGGAGGGAGGGGAAGCCCTAAGATTGTTGCCTGACATTTGGAGGGCCCAATGAGGAGGAAGTTTGACTAAAACAGGGTCCCTAGTAGAAGGCAGTAAGAGATAACATTGAATAGGAATAGTAAGACCAGCCAACTAGGGTCTTCAAAACCAAGACTTGGAAATTTAGATATTGTATAGTGCATAAAGAATTATTATGAACAAGCCAGGAAGCAATGTTTAGGGAAGATTAATCTGGCAGAGGAACACAACATAGATTAGTGCTTAACCTCCCTCATTCTGAAAAGAAGTGATAATTATCCAGGGTCACATTACCAATTAAAGAAGAGAAACCCCACCACCTTATTGAGGTGCACTCCCAAAAATATATTACTTTTTTTGTTCAGTTATTTATCAAAAATTATACTAGGGTTAAAATCACACATGTAATTAATAACATCAAAATCAATTGTGTATGAAATAATTATAAAGATGATTCAAATTTAAAAAGTTAAAATTTAGGGCTGGGTGTGGTGGCTCACGCCTGTAATCCTAGCTCTCTAGGAGGCCGAGGCAGGCGGATCACTCAAAGTCAGGAGTTCGAAACCAGCCTGAGCAAGAGTAAGACCCCATTTCTACTAAAAATAGAAAGAAATTAATTGTCCAACTAAAATATATATAGAAAAACTTAGCTGGGCATGGTGGTGCATGCCTGTAATCCCAGCTACTCGGGAGGCTAAGGCAGAAGGATCGCCTAAGCCCAGGAGTTTGAGGTCGCTGTGAGCTAGGCTGATGCCATGGCACTCTAGCCTGGGGCAACAGAGTGAGACTCAGTTCCAAAAAAAAAAAAGTTAAAATTTAGTCTTGTAACAAAATTTAAATTATTTTTATTTTAAATAATAAAATAATTTCAAGCATTAAAAATATATTCCAGCAGGATAAAACTCAGTAAGGATATGAAATAGAAATAACAATTCAAAGAGAAAAAGTACAGTTGAAACTTTGTATCTTTTAAGCAGTATCTCCCCACCCTATCCCACCAAACCCTAGTAGCCACCATTCTATTCTCTACTTCTGTGAGTTTGACTTTCTGTAGATTCCACATGTAAGTGAGATCATGCAATATATTCTTTCTGTGCCTGGCCAGTAGATACATTTAAAATAGTGATTTTAAAGTATCAAACTTTATGATATGGCAAAAATTATATTTTTTAAACTACTTAAACTCAAAGTCATTCTGAAAAAAATTAAATGTCAACTTAAAAAGGGAAGGAGAATATAGTTTTTCAAAATTATTTTAAAGGATACACAAATAATCATTGTAAAAGCCACTGCTCTAAGTTAGTTGCCTGAGATTGGAATTTCTGGTCCATAGAGTGTTGTATTTTCAGCTTTACAAAACTGAACTCAAAGTGGTTGTATCTATGTCTCATCTACCAAATGAGAATTATATAACATATTTTAAATATTAAAACTTTAACATTAAAAATTAAAGTATTTTTAAATAATTGTATTTTAACAACATTACATTTTAAATTTACTTTTATCTTTAATTCCCATTAAATTAAAAGCTTTTTTAAAAAACAGAAGGGCATGCCTTTTTTTTTAAAATATAGATCTGATTATGAGTACCTAATAATTACTCCCAAATAATAATGATGAATATTAATTATAATGGAGATGTTGTATAACCTGACCATTATGGGGCAAAGTTGACTCTAGAATCTAAACTCCACTGATGGCCATTTACATAGTATTGTTAATCTTACTATTTTGAAAGCAAATGCTTAAGTTCCTGTAGCCTGATACCTTATTCATCATAGGTGATTTTCTTCTCATCGTTTATGATCCTGCCTTTCAACATATCAAGTCACTGGAAGTTACTACATTTACAAAGCAGACTGGTCATTGTTGAACATTTCTTATCTGAAAACTTTCTCTTGTTTTGAAGTGATACTCTCCTATGCATTGGACATAGTCCTTTTTTCTAGAATGACAAATCAGTTTAATCCTTACATATAAAAATCCCTTGTATATGGAAATATAGCTCTCATAGCCCATTTAGTCTTTATCCCCCCCCCCCAGTCTAAACATTCTTACTTTCTGGTATATCCTGGATCTGAAAACCAACCCGGTCATCTTTCTCCATTGTCCATCAGCTTGGCAGTGTTCATCTTAAAAAGGACCTGTACTCAGTGTTCCAGATGTGCTCAGGGTATTTCAGCAGAACCAGCACTTTCCTTGTATCAGATATTTATTGAGCATCTACCAAGATATTATGTGAGTGGGGCAGATAAAGAAGTTAATCAGTCACCGATTCTACCTTCAGTGAGCTTGTATTCTTGGTGTGAAGAATAGAAAGGGAAATATGGAACAAAGAAATAGAATGTGTACTCAGGCATCCTCAAACTACGGCCCACGGGCCACATGCCGCCCGCCTAGGACATTTATCCGGCCCGCCGGGTGTTTTTGCCGCCACTGCCTGTCCTGCTTAGCTGCCGACTCACCCCGGGCCCACAGTGCACACTCTCCAACAGTCTGAGGGACGGTAAACTGGCCCCCTGTTTAAAAAGTTCGAGGACCCCTGGTACATCCACAGCTTTAATTCATGATGGAAAACGTGGTAAGATCAGTAAAGATGCCTAGCTGCAGGAGAAAGAAATGATGAAGGAGGACAGGAAAGGCTGGGTGGAGGATATGAACTAGACTTTGTGAAGCATGAGGAGGATTTAGACAGATGGGCTTAAGGAGGGGATGGAAGGAACCAGAGCAAGAACAAGTGATGAATGTTTGGGTTTTAGAAAGGAAAGCTGGGACCAAACTGGAGGATCTTGAATGTCAGGCTCAAAGAACTTGACCTTTTAAATCAGGTAGCGAGGGGCCACTTGAAGGTATATAAGCAGGGAGTACCAGGTGTAGACCTGTGCTTTGGGGAAATTTGAAAAGCAAGAGTGGAGATAGAAGGTAGAGAGACATTAAGTGCCTGAATTAGGGGAAAGGCAAGGAAAATGGAGGCACAGGGCTAGATCACAAGGCATTGCAGAGGTAAAATTTGTAAGATTTGGCCACTGGTTGGCTGTAGGGGGTAAGGAGATACAAGAAGAAATAAATACTGGTTGAAATTAGTATTATCTTTTCTATGCTATATTTGTGGTGATTTTTTTTTCTAAATGTAAATTCAAAAGCCCACATTTACCCATTAAATGTAATGTTATTTTTAACTCATCATTTCAGTCTATTGAGATATTTTTGAATCTTCATCCTGTCATCAAAAAATCTTAGCTATTCCTCCAAATTCCATGTCATTCTCAATTTTATAAGCAATCTTTTAGTTTTTGTTTTATGTGTGTCATTGAAAAAAGTGTTCAACAGGACAAGGCTCAGTAGAGGATTTTGGGGGTATACCTCTTAAGACTTCCTTGTAGATTATCTGTATGTGACTCGGTACTTGAAGAATTCATGTTTTCTAGGAACTGAGAACTTGAGCTTTAGCTCAAGAGCAGGACCTGCAGCTAAAGTTTGAATGCTGGCCTTTCTACCTACTAGTTATATGACCTTGAACAGCTATTCAGCCTCTCTACCTTAATTTCTGTATCTGCAAATAGGGGTAACACTAGTCCATTTGTCAAAAGATTGTTCCAAAAATGTCAGTCTTTTAGAAATTTTTAACAAAATAATGTACTCTCCAAATAATGATTAGCTGGTTTTTTTAATCAGTAACATAGCCATTTATTATGAAGTTGTATGTACTGTACATAATTGTATGTACTGAACATTAAGGGGGTACAAATGATGTTTTAAGTTATGTGATCACTTTTATAATGCTTGAGTTCTGGCTATAGTTGTGCCCATCACCCAGTGTTCATTGTACCCGTTAGGTAGTTTTTTACCCCTCCCCTCCTCCATTCCCCCTGGTTGATTTCCACTGAGTTTCATTTCCCTCTGTGCGCATGTGTGCTCATCTATTAGTTCCAATTTAATAGTAAGTACATGTGGTGTTTGTCTATTTTTGATAACCTTGGTCTCCAGTTTTAATAATGACAATGATGGTGAGGATGATGATTGACTTCACCACCTCCCATGACAGTGTTTTCTGTATTTCATCATGTGCTCCGTAAGAGACTTGATTAGATTCCTTGCTGGTATCCTTCCAGTCTTGATCTTCTCAGTG